CAATGTGATTGCTTAGAGATTCAGTACGTGATAATAATGAGCATCACACAGCATATGCCTGTTCAAATTCAGAATAGAAACTTGTATGTCCTGATCCTGTGAACTTCTACCGAAGCATCTAACTCACACTGCAGTGGCAATTCTTTGCCTAATTCTTAGCACTCTTCTACACATAAGTACCTTCCATACAGAATTCTGAATGGCATGGCCCAGACACAGTTTTATCACCTTAGTTATACTTAGGTAGCTGAAAGTTCTAATACGAAGATCTTCCTCTTGTACCCACACAGCCCTCTTCCATAGCTATACATACAAGGTCACTTGTAGGCACTTGGAGAACCAAATCTAGAGAATAACTAAAGATTAGAGAACATACACCACAACCCAGTTTACAAGTAACAACAACCTATGGCTATCACATGCTTCCCCGCAGCATATTAAGTTCCCATTTATTTGGTGCACTTCTGAAAGCTACACTCTGGTTGTAGCTACACTCAGAGAAACGACCCTGAGTTTTAATCCCTGTTCTTGTGTGTGGTTTGTTTTAAATCAGGTTTATTTCTCTAAGTGGGTGGAAGGCAGCAAGCTCATTTGCATGTAGCCTTGACCAATTGGTTACCCCATTACCCCATGGTTGGTCCTTATGTCCAAACTGGGTTACACAGAAAGAGAGCAAGGAGTTCCTTTCTGCAAGAGCTGTAAGCAGCTCAGTTACACTTGCCACAGAAAGAACAGAGTGGTCCTATGCTACACAGCCATAGCACATTTATAACGTCCAGCTATCCAACAAACGTTTTACCAAAAAAAAAAAAAAACCATGTATTGGACCATGAAATGTATAAACTAGACAGAATAAATTTGCAACCTGAAGCACACTTCCATTATACCTTCAGGTAACTATGAGGACTCAGTATTTTCTCTTATTTTTCATACTGATGCAAACTAAGAGAACTGTCCACCATGATTGTTCATGCTACTTGCTCATGCCAGTAAAATAGTTTTAAAAGCAATGTACATAAAAAATATGTCATCTTTCTAAAGAAAAGTGGAGGATGTGAAATATGGAACAACAATCTAACTATTAGCTCAGCTGACTGCATGACTAAACAGATTATCTGCTGCTGACTTCTATTTTCTAAATAATTTTACTTTACTGTCCATTTCAGGGTAAAAGGTTTGCATGACATAATGAGCCATTGTAGGTGAGAAGGCTGAGTGGGATGTTATGTGGTGTGCCCCCAGACTAATTCTCACAGGGTGCTTGTTCATGGGCAGTAAGGCGCACCAATAACCCATGGCTTGCTGTTGGACCTACAATAACTTGTCATACTGTATGGAACCAGGTGACAGACCTTATTGTCGGTTGAGAAAACTGGGTAGTGAGGCACTTAGTACAAGTGACTAAAATTGCTCTTACCAAACTACCCTGGTCCACCACCAGTGTCATCTGCTTATCAATGCCCTGGCAGAGTAGAACAATCAGCACTGACTCAGCCCCACTCATTGTGATTGTGAGCCCTTTTACATTGTCATGGTTTTTCTCCCCCCACCCCCCATTCAGAGATCACTTCAGAGAACACAGCACATTCCAGCTGTCACTGGTTTGTCTCCCCTTTTTGAGGGGCTGTACCCCAAATGTGTGCATTTTTTAATTATCTCTACTTGCATATTTTTGCAGATGCAAAATGGCACATCTAGGCAAAGCAATGCCTGAGGAGTTACCTGCTCTCAGAGAGCAGCAGGCACCAACCCAGAGAGACTGCTGACAAGAGAATCCAAAGCCATTAGTGATCTTTGCTCGTGAAAACATGGGGAGGGGTTGACATTTGTGAGGTCACACTCATATTTTACCCTACTACATGAATGTCATCCTGAGTAAAGGACAGGGTAAAAATACTTTAAATAAATAATAAATAACATGTCCCTCTCGGGGGGAAACCATGGAGAACCCTGTAAAACAAAAACCCTTTAAAAGAAGCAGAGTTCTGACAGCTAGCTATCAAAACTCCATGCCCCTATAAAAGGTGGTAGCTTTTTTTTCCTTTCCCACTCACCCAGTCTTTGGAAAGAGTGGAAAAGCAAAAAGAACCTGAGTGGTTCCTGGCCACCCTTTTTCAAGAACAAAGATCACTTGTTGCTTTGGCTTGCCTTCTGACAGCTTCTGGCAGCCTCCCCAGGTCAGCACCCATGAGGGGTGTCTGCCGCAATTTTGCAGCAGGCAGCCCTCAGGATATTGGCCAGGTGCAGCACACTGTAGTCTGTGGAAGTGTGCACTTGTGTAATTAAATCCACATACACACACAACTTGTGTATATTTGTGGTACAAAACAAGTGGCAGTGATGACCGGGGATAGCTCCTCTCATGTGCTGCTTGGATGCTTTGAAAGAGCTGTTACTAGCTGTTAAAATCAGAGGTCTAAAAAGCAATCTCCAAAAGAAAGAAACACGGGTTTTTTGTTTTGTTTTTTATTTGAGGGGGGAGACACCCAGAAAAAAAGAAAAACCATGGCAAAAGGACAGTGTGACCAAAACAGCTCACAACTGTTGAGGAGAACAAACAAGATGGGTTCTACCATGGTGATACCCTGTGATACCCATAGGAGGACTGAGGGGGAAGGACGGAATGACAACCTATGGTAAGCCTGATCATCTGTCAGGAACACCATGGGGTATTTCATGAATAATCCTGCCTGCAGAACTTCACGGAGTGGGCTGTCATGACATGAAGACTCATCCAATGTATAACATGCGCCAAATGTTTTGAAGATTCAATGCTCAAATTCTCTATTGTCTTTTCAGAAAATTGCTAGGTGTTCCTTAAAGTAAAATAGTTACCATTTAATTGGAGAAATGTTCAAATCAATTTACATAAAACCTATAGGCATTCTGAAAGTGTTTGTGTAATGTCACTTATTATGGCTTTTAACTGAAAACATTAATACTTGTTTAAAAGGCACTTACAAATAATCCTGAAAATATGTCCCTGATACTTTACCCTGAATATAACAGAGTTACCAAAAATTTAAGACACCGTGGGCAATACACAGTGATGTTCATGGACCCATCATCCACAGGATACTAGCACTTCCAAAAGCAACTGCAAACAGCCTGAAATTCATTTCTGGAATAGGGTAGCTCAGCGGACCCCACAGGAAAGGAGCTTCCCTGACCTGTTCTGTTCAAGAAACAAGCAATTTTTAGTAAGCATTAACATTGTGATTTAAAATGTTTGGCTCAGTCCTGGTAATCACCTAGGAAGTGCTAACTTCCTGTTGTGCCAGGCAGGCACAACATAATTAGCAGTGGTGTCAGATACTGCCATAGCTAGGTGCTTTCAAAACCAGTAACTCTGAAAATCAATAATGGTGCTAAATGAAAACATCAGCAAAAAAGTTTTCTGCTAGCATAAAAGGGAAGATATGATCCAGGCTACAAAAAACTATGTCCCATTTCATCCAGCAGAATAACCCTGAATTCTGAGCTATTTTAAGTGTGCCAGTGTGCTGGTGCAAATGAGAGAAGTCAGTCAACCCAGGGATACTCTGTTTCCAGGTTATTTCTCATGATATGCATACCAGAAACTCTGGTCTCTCTGCCTCAGCAAACCAGAGTTCCTGATCCTCATATCATGACAAACAACTCTTGAGTTGTTCAGTTGTTCCCGCTACACATCAACATACTTCACAAAACCCAGTTTAAAAAAAGTCTGAGTTATTTTAAGATGTGAACAAGGACAATGTCAAAAAGTAAATCTACAAAACAAAAATACAGAAGCTATTTTAACAATTGTTACATTTTATCACACAATTATTGGTCCTGGGCCCTACATTTTAAGCTCTGTTATGCAAATATGAACAAACTTTGAAATATTTCTGGACTGGTGCAACCTACAAACGGTTAATTTAGAATTGTTTTGTGTGATTTAGGTTCTATATATAAATACACAAACACAATATGAAAAGTCATGAGCAACATTTGTCTTATTTTGCTGACCATCTTGGCACAAAGAGCAGAAATTGTTTTCACCTAAAACCAGAGTCACACAGTAAAAGAAAGTTGTCTTTTGTAAGCTAGAGGGAAGCTCTGAAAGATCAACACTCACTTGAAATAAACATTCCTTGCTGTAGCATGGAACAGACTGGAAGCAAGAAAATGAACACTAACAAACAGTACACACTGGAGTTCTTTCCCCTTTCTGCTAGTCAGTAAGCCAATAAGGAAGCTGGAACAGAACTAAAGATTATTCCAGAAAAGAAAATTAGTCAAGTAAAAATCAAATATATGAACAAGTGTGTTCAATAAAGTGCACTCCATTGCAGCCTTAGGAAACAGCTGCAGCTCAGCATCTAAGAGCAGAGTTTGTAAGCAAAAGCTCCCAAGCGCAATCCTTGACATCTTTAGGCAGGCCTTGGAGATTCCCGTCTGAAACACTGGAAAACCACTGCCACTTTTTTTATACTACCCCTGTCCAACACTATCTTTTCTCAGTTGTTCCTATGACATTGGTTTATAAATTGTAAGCCTCTAAAAGAAGGCCCTGACTTCTTTACCTATTAATAACATCAGTCCACCTTTTCACACAAGCAGCAAAATGTAGAAATAGCCTGACTCAATCTCTGTAGCTTAAGTCATAGCTCCACAATGCACAATGTACCTCCAGTTTTTGCTTATGAAAGCAAGGAACTGAAATGTATAAAGCCCAAAGACAGAGAATCTAGCTTAGTGTATTCAGTAGGATCTATTACACCTGACAAGTAACTCTAGCAAGAATCCCAGGCATTTAGATACTTCTCAATCTTTGCTGAGTAAGTGCAGCGACTGTTCCACCTGAAAGAAAGTTGCCTGAACACAAGATCTTGAGAAATAAACAACTGCAGAGTTCATAATTTGGAATTATATAGAATTGTAACTGATTTAGTACTACAACAGTTAAAAAGCATTTGGTTGCTAACTTTCTTTCTGACACAGGAAAATGCTACCAGTCAATTAAAATCACTCACATTGTTTCTCCAGTCTTGGCAACATGACAAAGAAACTGATCCAGTATTGGACACACTTCCTTCTTCCCCCTCTTTTCAAAATCTGTGAAGAGGACAGAAGAAAGAGGGGAGTAGTTATTTTAAGCACACCTTGCTTGCTAAGTACCATCTCACCCTCCTGCTACCCCATATGTGAGATAAAGCACACATATACCAAACACAAGCCTCCAAAGGGCAGCAAATACATGTGAGTAGGTGGGAAGACACTTTTCAACTTCTTTAAACCTAATTTCTAATCCTGGGCCACCTGCTTTAGGCAGGGCAGCCACATGAAGCATAGGCAAAGCAATCCAGTGATTTGTTAGTTGTGGACACAGGACAGATATGGAAGTAAAAGGTAACAGGAAATAGAAAAAGAAGTGGAAGGAAATGGGGATTACAGGGGAACACAGACATAAAACACGGGCAAAGTGCAGATAATGTACCAAAAGCCTTTAAGGAACGAGTGGACAAGTAAGATGAAAGTGAAGGGAAGCCTCTGGCATGTGGGTCATATTAGGGTTCCTATATTAATAGCCCTTCCACAGATACTTCCAAGCACAGCATCGAATAAGGCCCACGGTAACAGAACTGCTCAGACTCTGGCGGGACTCTGGGGGTGCGGAGAGGGATGGGTTTCCCTCATCCCGGCTTTTCTCCCTCCCCACCACCTCAGGGAGACCGAAAAGTATCTTTCCTTCCCACGGGGATCTCTGCAGGACCTTCCGGGGCTCCCCCAAGAGCAAGGGCCAGGCCTCGCCGCCTCCTCCCCGAGGCCAGCGGCCCGCCCCTCTCCCCGCTCCCCCGTGACCTCAGGATAACCCCCTCCCGCCGAAGCCCCCAGAGCCTCCACCTTTCAGTGCCTCCTGCAGTCTCTCGACATCCATGATCCGCCGCTGCCTCTTCTTGTTCCCCTTCTCCTCCTCCTCCTCCTCCTCCTCCTGCCCTGCCCCCCGGGCCCTCTCAGGAAACAGGCAACCAGCAGCCGCTCAGCGACGAGGGTTCCGCTTCCACCACACAAACAGAGAGGAGGGAGAAACACAGAATCCCCGGCGGCCGGGCTCAGCAAGCTTCCAACATGGCGCCCAAGCCGTCGCGTGCGCGCCCCCGGCACCCTCTCGCAAGCACACCGAAACAGGCCTCTCCTCTTCCCGCCGGCGCGGGGACGCGCTCTCGGAGGAGGGGTGAAAGGGGAGGGCGGGGCCGCGGGCGATGACGTCACCGCCCAGTCGCGAACGGCCGCGGCGAGAGCGTGAGTCGCAATGGAAGCGGAGCGGCGCGGCGTCGGGATTGGGCGAAAGGCGCTTTCTCGCGGCTCGTGACGGCCGGGCTGCCCGCCCCCTCCCGCCCGGGGTGACGTCACTCACGTCACATTTTGATTGCAGGCTTCTCTCTTCCCTGGCTCGCGCTTCGTGTTGAAACTAGCGGGGTCGTCCGTGTGAGACGGACAGAGGCGGAAATGGGAGTTGCGGCGTCTCCGTATTTACACGTGCGCGCAAGAGCGCTTCTAGCACCCATCCGGCGGGGGCTGAGCGCCCTGCAGCCTTCAGCCTCGTCACCTCCCTTGCTGGCTCCCCCTTGACCTGTCACGATGCAAGTGCCTTCCTTTCCCAGAGAGAAGCTGAGGGTCTCCGGGAGGCCCCCCCTGCAACATCCCTCCAGAGAGCATCTATAATCAATAAAATAACATGGCAATGATACTCTCTTTACAGTGTCCTGTGAGGCGTTCGAGTTTCTGGGACAGCAATCAACCAATCGATGTGCGCAACTGAAACGGGACTGCGAGCGAGGGTCACCGAAAATGAGGTTTTTATCTGCTGGACGGCACTAAGATTATTTTGCGAATCCTGGTAAGATGGGAAATTTGAACACTCTCAGTTTGCTCACTGTATATGAAGGTTCCTGACTGACAGTAGATTCCAGGGACTGCTACCTCCCCAAATGGATCCATGAGGATGAAGCCACTGTCAAGCTGGGTGGCTGCAAGGAGAAAAGGCAGAAAATGAGAATGAATCCAGTAGAGCAGGGAGAAGACGAATAAAGCAGCTTGTAGAAAGGGAAATGTTTGCCCTCAAAAGCACAGCCCATTGCTAATGTGTTCTCCAAACTGTTACTGTTATATCAGTTCTTCCTTTCTTTCTTTCTCAAAGCACTCAAGGTGGTTCACAAGGTACTCCCCATCTCCATTTCATCTTCACAACAATACCCCTGTAAAGTAGGTTAGGTGGAGAGTTTGTGTCGATCCTAAATCAGCCAGTGACTTTCACAGCAGACGCAAAAGCCCTGCAGTCTAAGCATCACACCACACAGGCTCTTTCGTCTTTGGTCTGCTCTAGACCTTTCTTCCACCAAACACAGAGCTGGCCCTTTCCCTGTGTGAGATCACTTTTCCTCCTCCTCAGCTTGACCTGTTTGTCACATTCTTGTGGGCACATTCATTGTCTATTCAGCAGCACAAGTTGTGGCACAAGGCACTATTTATTTCATTCCCAGCTATGATGATCTCTGGGACCTCCTCTTTAAAAAAGGACTAGTTGGGAGATCAGAGGAAGAAGAGAGCATAACTGATGTCCACACCCAGCTCCAGATGTTGCTATTGGTTGCCCATTGGTTGTGCAGCCAATCATATTCACTGTTTAGAGCGCACAAACACTAGATCTCTAAGTGAAAATGAGTGAACAAAATAGCCAACATTTGCCACTGTCGGAAGTACATACCATACTTTTAATCTTAGAATATTTTAGAGCAGGGGTATGCCACCAGCGTTCTAGAAAAATGTGGAATCCTAATTAGCATAATCCTAATAAAATGTGGAATACTTGAGAGTGTGATGCTAATGAGCAACTTTTAAACAAATGTAATAACATAAATAACACATCGGGGGCAGTTTAAGAAAAAGTTTCACCAGGTCATTACCAGTCCTTCAGCCAAACTACCCATGATGGTGTGATCCATACCTGGATCTATCCTCTCTTTAAATGTCTGTAGGAAAAAAACCTCTCCAAGAATCACAAGCAGCCCTGATTTATATTTAGACCACAACATTGGATGAAAGGCAGGTGTAACTTCTCTCCCCCCCCCCGCTCCCCCTCCCGGCCTCATGCACACTCACACACACAGGAACACTTTTCCCAGTGAAGATCCCACTTCCAGCTGCTCTTTCTCAGGAGTGCCCACATTTTCCTTTCAGCATGGGGCTTTTCAACCCAGCAGTGATGCAAGGCAAATGCTTGCTTGGCATGCCGCTTGGATCTGTGGCTGCTTTATTTGTTTATTTATTTGGGTATTTTTATCCTGCTCAATTACACTGGGGGTCCCTGGACGACTTACAAATCAACATCCAATAAATACATATAGACCCAAATAATCCAGAATAATCCATGACTGAGCATAAAACATAGTTAAAATATTTAAACATTAAAATTACGGGAAAATAAAAAGGTCTTGACCTGGTACCAAAAAGCATATAACATCGGCGCCAGGCAGACCTCTCTGGGGAGTGCATTCCATAGCCAGGGGGCCACCACAGAGAAGGCCCTCCTCCAAGTATATTCTCTCCTAACCTCTTTAAAGGAGGGTTCCCAGAGGAGGGCTTCTGCTGCAGATCTTAAGGAGTGGGAGAGCATGTAGGGAAAAAGATGTTCCTTTAGGTATCCTGGTCCCAAGCTGTTTAGGGCTTTATAGGTTAATACCAGCACCTTAAATTGGGCCCGGGCTTCAGTGAGAAGCCAGTGAAGCTGATTGAGGACTGGCGTTATACGAGAATAATGACCAGCCCCCAACAGCAATCTGGTGGCTCTGTTCTGAACCAATTGAAGTACTGAATTTCCTTAAAGTTACAAATATTTAAGGAAGTGAAACTTCCAAACATCACCATCATCTTATTTAATTTGGCCCATAGAATAAAATATGACAACAATGCCAAATCAGGGGTGAGGGTGAAATAAGTTACCAGTTGCAACTTACCTATTGAGATAAACTTTCTTATTCAGTTTTTCATTCCTGATGCAGAAGACCTCTTTGGCAGAGAACATTGACTGGAGTAATAAAGGTTACATAAGCAAAAACTGAGACCTTACCCAACTCTGTACTTTCCAATGTCTGGCTCTAGCATAACAACACAGTTCTATATTCCTTATTTCAGTAATGGCGTCTTTCTTTCTTTCTTTTTTATAAAGGCCAGCTGTGATACTGTGTAGGTTACATGCTCTTGATCTGTTGAAAGCCCATATTAAGCATTTTGATCTATTTTCCTAAGGCCATTTCAGCATTTAGCATCTGCAAGAATAACGAATTAAATTATTCAAAGCAGAAAATCTTCAACTGAAGTACTTTGTTCAGATTTGGGATCTTGTTTTCACTACACCATTTCACTGTAAGGCAGAAAGGTTCATTTTACAACTAACCTTTGTTTTAAACAGAGGAATTAGGACTGTAAGCTTTAATCATAAGAGCTGCAAAATATAAGAGTTGCACAGAGCCTTAATTTCTGTTGGTCACATCATATGGGGGATAAGATCAAAATGTAAAACGTCGAGTCACAACAAATAGACCCAGAGATCAGTGGCTTCTCCCCACCTCTCTCTTTCCATTGACTAGAAATAGTAATTTCACCAAAAGCTGATTCTGTTCTCAGGATGTGCTGCCAGAGGGCCTTGTAAGATTTTGTGGAAACCCTGCAGTGCTGTGGGTACTCGAAATATGGTACCATTCCACTCATGGGAAAGTAGGGCTCTTCAGAAATGATATCATTTCACTACCATCTCCAAAGGGGAATTTTAAAATTGGCTGATCTGCTGCCCCTAGGGTGACTGAAGTGACTTGCTCACACATGTACGTAACTCTTCCTTTCAAGAGTTCCATCCCAAATGATGATGTTTTTTAATTTATTATATTTATACCCCACTTTTTCCTGCAAGGAATCCAAAGCAGCATAACATCCATCCTCCTCCTGCTCTACTCCATTTTATTCTCATAATCTTCCTGTCAGGCCAGCTAGGCTGAGTCAGCAACTGGCCCAAAGTTACCAAGGGAGTTTCATGGCTTACGGTGGACTAGAACTTAAGAGCTCCCAAGTTCAAGGGCAACACTCTAACCACTGCACCACACCACACTTGACTGCACCACACACCTTTTTTCTTTATTTCTAGGGAGCAGGAGAGAGGACTCCCTTCCCAGTTCCTCCTACAGTCAGGTTGAGGGTGGGATGTGGGTGGGCAGGGAGCCTGACAGAAGCGCACCTGTGGTTTTTCCTTTCTCGGTGGTGCTGGATAATAAGAAGGACTCCACTGGACATGATGGAAAACCTGTCACAAGAACAGCTGTTTTTCCTGTTCATCCCCCTTTGTAACCTGATCCTGTCCTCTCTCCTTCTCTGCCTCCTTCCTCTTCCTCTTCGCAACATGCAGCACCTGCTGTTCCAGGTAACCATATTCCGTGCCTTTGTTTGTCACACCACCCAGATTTTGGGGTTGCTGGTAGTGGGACGATGCTAGGTGGCCTCGCCTGACATCAGGTATGCAAGCACTAATCAGATGAGTCGATCTGAACCTCTGAACAGGCTCTAGTCTGCATTATTCGTGGCTTTGAGCCTTCCTGGAGGGAAATGGAAGGGCGTGTCCGGAGAGGGCACCTGCAGCGCACCTGCGCACGGGCCCAGACGGCAGGGGAGCTCTGTTGGAGCTAAAGCCCCAAGCCTGGCAGCAGCTGTGCTGCACCCTCGAGTAACTTGCTCTGCTGGAGGGGGAGTATTTGGGGTCTGTAAACAGGCTAGGCAGGGGGAGGGATTGTCTCTTCTGCACACAGCACAGGGCCGATTCAGACACCAACAAGAAAGGCATTCCTCAATAAAGAGACAATATGCTACCCTAGAACATGGGGGGGGGGGGGTAGAATCAAACTCCATGAGGCATGGCGGCCAGAATGCTGCACTGGCATTGAACAAATACCGGCTGCAGCTCTCACCCAGTCATGAAATTCGTTGGGTAACTTTGGGCCAACTACTGATTCTGAGCCTAACCTGCCTCACAGGGTTGTTGTGATGGTTAAATGGAGAAGAAGAGGAGGATGTAAGCCACCTTTGGTTCATTGCTTTCGGGAGCCAAAGTTCCTCATTTGAGCATC